TGAAAATTAAAGAATTAGAGCCATTGCACTGTTGTCCCACTGCTATTTCATCCACTTTATGAGGGAAGAATGATGTCTAGACCTCAGTCTCTGCTCTGAGATGCAAACATATTTGTAAAAATTCAACTACCTTTCTTCTTTAAAAGACTGCACTTTGGGGCGCCTGGGTGGCTCAGTGGATTAAAGCCTCTGCCTTCGGCTCAGGTCATGATCCCAGGTCCTGGGATCGAGCCCCGCATCGGGCTCTCTGCTCAGCAGAGAGTCTGTTTCCTCCTATCTCTCTCTGCCTGCTTCTCTGCCTACCTGTGATCTCTGTCTGTCAAATAAATAAATAAAATCTTTAAAACATTAAAAAATAAATAAATAAATAAATAAAAGACTGCATTTTAAAATTTCTAATTTGAAGAGAACTAGCTTTGTAACAGAAGCATGAACAAAATTTCGATACCATCTACTTTAAAGAGAACAACCTGTGGCACCTGGGTGGCTCAGCTGGTTAAATAACTGCCTTTGGCTCAGGTCATGATCCTGGAATCCCAAGATCGAGTCCTGCATCTGGCTCCTTGCTCGGCGGGGTGTCAGCTTCTCCCTTTGACCTCTCCCCTCTCATGTTCTTTGTCTCTCAAATAAATAAATAAATAAAATCTTAAAAAAAAAGAAAGAAAGAAAGAAAGAGAGAGAACAACCTAAGTTTGGTCTTAATAATAACGTTGTTTTGTACTGATCACTACTTTCTTAGGTGTCAACACTATGAGTGACACCTCTCCTTCCCACTTCCATTTCCACTATAGCAATAATTTCCTAACAAGTCCGCTCTCCAGCCACTATACCATTACCAGAGTGACCAATGATTCAAAATGTACTGAGTGCCTATTTTGCCAGGTACTGTTCTAGGTGCTTTGGATAGAGTAACACAATCAGACACAGCCCCAGCCCTCAGAGAGTTCAGCCTGGTCCAGGAGAAAGAAAAACCAAATCATAATTTCAGGTACTAAAAGTGCTACCAAAACAAAAGCAAAAACAGAAAAAGGCAAGCAAGAAGAGGTAAGCTATTACAGAGAGAAAGAATACAAGTAAGGCCTCTCTGAGGTGACTGGTATTTGATATTTGACATTTGACAAGTAACACTCCACCCCCTCAACTCTACTGTTTTAAGAATGCCCCCCCCCTTTAAAGATTTTATTTATCGGGGCACCTGGGTAGCTCAGTTGGTTAAGCATCTGCCTTTGGCTCAGGTCATGATCCCAGAGTCCCAGATGGAGCCCCACATCCGGCTACCTGCTCAGTGGGGAGTCGGCTTCTCCCTCTGCCCCTCACCTCATGTGAGCTCTCTCTCAAATAAATAAAATTTTTGAGAGAGCACACGCGAGTGCCAAAGCATGCATGCGCATGAGTGGGGAGGAGGAGGGAAACAGGGAGAGGCAGACTTCCTACTGGACTCAGAGATCATGACCTGAGCCAAAGGCAGATCCCTGACTGACTAAGCCACCCAGGCACCCCTAAGAATGTCTGTTTTATTGGGAAAGTCATGGTGATGTACTTCTAGAGGCTGCATCTAAAACCAGCAGATATTTCATCATCTATGAGAAGTGACTCTATGTGGTAAAGTACAAAATAATGAAGTAACAGCCAAACATAAGTAGCAAAAGAGAAAACAAATTTCCACCTCTTTTGGTTTGTTAATACTGTGGAAGTAGGGAAAGTCACACCCAAGGGTGGTGAGTGTTTGTATGCTCAGCAACAACCTTCTTCCAGGTCCTTCAGTTCCTGGCCCCAAATCTTCCTGCTGCACATTTCTCATTCTGTCATTCCCTTCAGTTCAATAGTTCTCCACTTGGTCAATCAAGCTGGAATGAGACTCTCCACTGTGCCAACACTACACACTTCACCATTGCTATCTCCCAGGGTTTCCCCACATGCATTGGTGTTTCAAGAAAACCATGCACTTTGGTAAACGCTCTTCCCATAACCTGAATTCCTTTCCCACCAATCTCACTACACTTATCTACCAAAGTCCTATCCTTGAAAGCCCAACTCCTAGAACTATGACATGAATGATCCCCCGGAGAAGTGGTAGCTCATTTCTCAAACTCCCTTTCTAGTCTTAAAACACCCAATACTTAATCATTACTATTTGTGTTCTAATTTCCTCTTTCCAACTCTAAGTTATAGGTTTCACAGGTAAAGCAGCAGACTTACTTGTTTTTTTAATCTCTTTTGTTTTCCACAGTATGTACTCATTGTTTATTCAATATGCAAGGGTCCCAAGGAGATTTATAACTTGGCCAAGAAGATAGCATAAAGTCCCACTCGGTATGGTTCTAGGTACTGAAATGCTATGATTTAGCAGAAAATCATAATAGCACAGTCAAGTATCACAGACTACGGAGCGAGGCTATGTTCAAACTCTACCTTTGCCACTAACCTGATGTGAACCCCAGGAAGTTACTTGATTTCTCTAGTGAGATGGTAAGAATGTCACCTACTTGACAGGGTGACTGTGAAAAACTGAAATTACAAAATTACACTTAGAACAAAGGTTGGCATACAGAAGTGCAAGGCACAAAGAAGTGCACAATACGTATCAGCCATCATAGTTACCATCATTATTTCTTCAGAAATCAATTTCTCCACCAGTAAATGGAGAATATCAAACTAGACTTATCTCTTTCAACTCTCGGATCCCACACATACGTGCTACATGACACTGAAGATGTCAGAGATCATGAAGAGCTGACAAGTAGGGATGGCTTTATAAGAGAACTAGAACCCCAGGCTAGGCACAGAAGATGCAAGCTGATTAGAGAAGTATGAAGGAAGAAAACATTTTAAGAAGAAAGCTATAAACAGCAAAGGCTAGGAAGAATAAGCAAAGACAGAATAAGCGTGGAACATAAGAAAGATTATTTGTCTAGAGTTTATGTTTTGGGGAATAGTAGAAAATAAGCTATGATCTTAATGCCTTTAAAAATAGTAGACTACACGGGGTGCCTGGGTGGCTCAGTGGGTTAAGCCTCTGCCTTTGGCTCAGGTCATGATCCCAGCGTCCTGGGATCGAGCCCTGCATGGGCTCTCTGCTCAGTGGGGAGCCTGCTTCCTCCTCTCTCTCTGCCTGCCTCTCTGCCTACTTGTGATCTCTGCCTGTCAAATAAATAAATAAAATCTTTAAAAAAAATAGTGGACTACAATACAACTGATGATAAAACCATGTTACTTTATCAGTTGTGTTTCTGGAATAGGAGAAAATCCTGGCGGTAGTTGATTAGCATCTATTCTATCTAATAATCTGCCTTGAGAACATCTCAGACACGACACACTGGGCAGCTCTTTAATGAGAATCTGTACACAACCGCAGAATTTCTTCATTTTCTTCTAAAGCCAAATACAAGTAAATTCTGGCTATCCTTATTTTGGAAGCATATCTTTCCTCTCTGTTAGCTTAAAGAAACTAAGATGGTTCTATGAATTTGACAAATCTAAAATAAAAACAAATGCACTCCTCCATGAATTACAAGAAATCATTACAACGTCAGTCAGATCTTCCCATTCCTCTGCTCAAAAGCCTCACGCAGAGATAAAGTGAAATCCTCCTAATAGCCTAAAAGTTCCTGGTTGTTCTGGTGTTCCTGCCACCAGGTCTTCCCTGACCTTATCTCCTACTCCTCCTCCTTTGCTCACAATGCTCCAAAGCACGCTGCTCTTCTATTCCTCTTAACAGGCCACTGTCCTCTTCAAGGTCTTTACACTTGCTGTTCCCTCTGCCTGGACCGTTCCTTTCCCCTGATACTTGGTGGGTTCACTCCCTCACCCCCTTCTAGGCTGCTTAAATATCAGCTGGTCTGTAAATACCACCCTGCCTGCCCTATTTCAAAATGCAATACCTTCCCATCCCTCTTTTTTTTTTTTTAAACCTAAGTCAGTAATCACCTCCTCACATACAGTATAATTTATTATCTCTCTTTCCCTAAAAAGAAAGTAAGTTTCAGGAGGGCAGGGGTTACAGACATAGAACGGTGCTGGGGAACAGGCACCCAGCAGACCTCGACAAAAATATTCCTCCAATGAACTGTAGATCAGACCATATAATGCCCCTTCTAGGTAAAAGAAAATACAACGTCCTTTTTTTTCCCCCATCGCTGAAATCTTAAAGTTAATTTTTGTATAAAATACCTATTGCTCACCTCCTATGTGCCATAACTGGGCTTGGCTCTGCAAAGTTAGAGCAGATTAAGACATAAACTCTGCCTTTTAGAAGCTCTAGGGTGCGCGTATGGAGAATACACACAGAAACATCATTTACAAAATACAATATACAGCCAAAGGAAATTGAATGACCACCTAAAGGAGTGAGGAACAAGGAGGGAATGCTTCACTAAGGTGATGTGGAAAGCTGTAATTCCCCAAAACTCTCAGCCAGCACAACAGCTCCTCCTTATCTTACTGGTGCGTATGCTTGCAATTCCATATAAATTATTTACCCGCATCAGATAGGCTCTTAAATAGGCCGCAAAAAAAAGTTTGTGCGACAATAGTGATGTACTCAAGGCTGCACAAAGATCACTGACTACGTTTATACCGTCTTTCGATCTGGCAACTTTTACCTATCGGGTCCCCTGATTTGGAGGCTTGCATCTGCCAAATGCTGCCGACTTCGGCCAGAACCCTCCTTGTGGATATCCCTACTCGGAGCCCGACACCCTGCAAATCCCTTTCATAGCAGGGCGGGCAGGCGCCGCCTCCGGAAAGCCGCCAACTGGGCCACAATGAGAGTTATGGGAGAAGCGGGAGTCGTGGGAGGGCGACGAGATTGGGTAGGACCCTTGGAGGCCTCTGCCTCGCACACCCACCCCTCCCGGCCCCCTGCGCCGCCCGTGCCCCGAGGCTCCGCAGGCTCTTTTGTTAAGCGAGGCCGAGGTTCCCTGGTCCTCGCTAGGCCCCGCAGTTGCCTCCATTGGCCCCAAGGGGTAGCGACCCCGAGCCCAGGCCCACGTCGCACAGACCTGCCGCTGTCGCTGCAGCGGCAGCTGATACTACCGCCGACGCGGAGAGAATCCCACGGCCAGAGTACGCGCGGTCCAGGCCGCGTCCGCCGCGTCCGCCGCGCTCCTTCCTCTCCGCCCCCTTCGCCGCCGCCGCCGCTTCTCGGCCCGTTGCTGACCGGGGGGGAGGGGAACGCAAAGCTGACATGCGCAGTGCAGAGAGCGCGGGCCGAAGGGCGGGGTCTGGGGCTACGGCTCCCGGAAGGTGCCGCAGGCTCCGGACCTTAAAGCTCCATAACGCCTCACAGACCACTCACTCAGCGGACACTGCTGTTGGGGCGTGCTCGTAGCCCAGGAGGTTGGCCTAGGGGGTGAAGAAAGCGTAGCAATGACAGCCGCCTAGAAATCCCAAGAAAGGGGCTTGGGCGGAAGCCACATATACATAAAATTGTGGGCTCCCTAATCTCTGGTCCTTTGCAAATACGACCTAGGCAACATTTCTCCGCAAGCCTCTGGCCACGCGGTCTCACAGAGCATGGCCACTTTTAGCTTCCGGAGCACCAGTTTAGAGTGATGATAACTTGACTGAACCCTAGTGGAGAGGGCTGGGATCGCTGCGGACAGTTCCGGCCTAGAGGCCAGGATTATGTAATTTTCCCAGCAGCCCCACCTTGCCTCCGCTGGGCGGGGGAGGAGGAGGTCTCGCGCGGTTCCCGAGGCCGCGGCCCGCCACCCCGCCCCCCTCCGCCGCGCGCAAGCGCGGACAGTCCGCACGCATTCTACGTAACGGATGGCGGAGACTACGTGAAGAGTGGCTCAGCGTGACTGAGCTACCTGGTCCGGCTGCGTCCTAGAGAGATCGGGGGCAGTAAAATCGCGGTGACCGCTTAGGTGGCAGCCGGTCCTAGAAGCGGCGGCTGCAGGAGCGCTGGGTCGGGTTCTAGCGCAGTTCAGGTACGAAACGGGCCATGACGCGTTAGTCGGTGGGGCCCAGCCAGGCCGAGCAGCGACTTTTAAGTTGCGTGGCCTAGCCAGGTCCCGTTTCCCACCTAGCCCCACTAAGTCAGGCCCGGGGTGACATGGATCCCGCCTTCTCACCTCTCCTGGCCTTCTTAAAAACAGAAAACAAACCTCGTCCACCCCAAGGCCCATTTTCTCTTGGTCTTCGGGGTTGGGGTGATTTTGACGTTTTTGAGAACTTGCCTGCAGAGCTACGGGCAAATGCCAGCTAGAAGGGCAAAGTTACAGGAAGCTACAGGGTGCAACAGGAAGAATGGAGTATAACCGTTAGGATGAATTGATTCTCCATGGTGGGAAAGACTAGAGCCCAGTGGCTTAACAGCAGCAACAACCTCTGGCTGGTTTTCTCTGAAGGTTTCTGACATAAGCCCGTTTGTATCCGAGGGGTGTAAGGAGACAGGGAAATGTCTACATGTTTTCCAAAAGTCTGGTAGTCTGGTAGTTGTCAGAAAGGCCTAATCTAAAATGACAAGGGGGACGCCTGGGTGGCTCAGTGTGTTAAGCGGCTGCCTTTGGCTCAGGTCAGGATCCCGGCATCCTGGGATCAAGTCCCACATTGGGCTCCTTGCTCAGCAGGGAGCTATCCCTCTGCCTCTGCCTGCCTGTGCGCTCGCTCTCTCTCTGACAAATAAATCTTTAAAAAAATAATAAAATGACAACAAGGGATGATTTCCCCCACTTATTCCTCTTCAGATTTTTAAGTACAGACCCAGTTACCCAGAGACCACCCAGTGAGCTAGGGAGATAACTAAACCAGACCTGTTAGTGCTTGTGTTCCCTGCCCCAGGACTCTCAGGACTGGGAGGCCTGGCAGGGAGTTGTGCCTTTGAAAAATGAGATGACAGGTGCAGCAGAGAGACTTCTCAGAAGGAAGGCCAAGATATAAGTGGCTTGGATAACTTTAACCCAAATAACCTTGAAGAAGCCGTGTTACAGTGCTGAGTTAGCTTAGAAATGTTTCTACGATGTGAACATTCTAACTGGAAGTTATGATTTGAAATGATGACTTTTTGGCAGTTATTCAATTGTCTGTGCCAATGTTAATCTTTATTTACTTCTATTTGAAAAAGCATAAGATTGAGATCTGGACAGGGAAGCAAGAGTTAAGTTTTTTAAATCTTAAAGGGTGTTCATAGGCACAGGGCTTGAAGGAAGTAAGGAGAAATAATATTTATTGAATGCTTTCTGTATGCCGGGCACATATCTCCTGTAATACCAGCCACAGCCTTATGAGGCAAATAGTGAATAGGTATGTGGGGAACAGGGAATTGTAAGTAATTAGTACAAGATCATATGGCTCGTAAATGGTACTGCTGATGTTTTAAACCAAATGTAAACTCAACCAAAGTATGTGCTCTTTTTCATATTTCTTCCACTTTTGACTATAATAAAAGATTATTAAAGGAACTAGAGATATTTGGAGACATATCACAAACCTCTTTAAGGTTACTGTTAACCTGGTGCTAACCTCCACGACCAGATATTGGAAAGGATATGCCGTTGGCCTGTCCTTTATGGCATTTCTCACATTATTTGTACCTTTCAAATTTTATTAATTTCATTCAATTTTAAGTATATTTCTTTCTTTCATTTTTAGATTTATTTACTTATTTGAGAGAGAGCGAGAGCATGAGCACGGGGCGGGGCAGGGGGAGAAGCAGACTCCCCACTGAGCAGGGAGCCCAGTCCCTGGGACCATGACCTGAGCAGAAGGCAGACACTTAACCAACTGAGCCACCCAGGTGCCCCTAATTTTAAGTATATTTCTTGATCAGCCATGGATTGCAAGGTATTGGGCAATAGCCTTTGATAGTGAACTGATTCCTTTAAGAGTCTACAGTATTGTAAATAGGAGATCAGAATGTTCACTATCCCAGAGCACCTTGAAAGAGTAGTGCTCACTCCCTTTACCACCCACTCACCTCACTCAACTCCCTGCATTCTGGCTTCCATCTTGACCACTTCCTTGCAGTTGCCAATAATGATTTTGTTACAAGTATTTGGAAGTTTCTGGTCCATATTTTGCTTGAACTTTCTGTAGCAATTGAAACTGAGTTCTTTTCCTTCTTAGAAATATGCTTCTCCTTTGACTTCTATAATACCACTTTGACGAGAGTCCCTTCTTTTTTTTTCTTTTTTTTTTTTGTGATGAGAACTTTTTAACATCTACTCTTTTTAAAAATTTTTTAAAAAATATTTTATTTATTTGACAGAGAGAGAGAGAGTACAAGCATACAGAGCAGCAGGCAGCGGGAGAGGGATAAGCATGCTCCCCACCAAGCAGAAACCCTGACACGGGGCTCCATCCCAGGACCCTGGGCTCATGACCTGAGCCAAAGGCAGACCCTTAACTGACTGAGCCACCCAGGTGCCCCTCTTTTTTTTTTTTTTTCTAACCATTCCTTCTTAGTTTCCCATTCCAGTTCTTCCCATTATGCCCAACTCTTAGCTGTTATGATTTGTTTCAAGAGTTTTGGTGTTTGTTTTTTAACCTAATTCTTAATACTCTCTGGGGATCTCATCTATTCTGGCATCATCTCTGTTTCCATCTTAGTTAGGCTTCTGTCCTGAACTCCAGACTTCTGTTTCAAACTGCTTCCTTTTCTCCCTCTGTAAATAGGTAATAATTCCTTTTTATAGGGAGTTTGTGAAAATCAAGAGGTAAATGTTAATCATCTAACATACTACCTGAAAACACTCCAAATTTTTCAACAGGTACTAAATTTAATTTATCCCCCCCCACAATTTTCCTCCTTTGTTCTTTATCTCAAAGATGACTTTGTTTAGTTACGAATCAAGCCAAAACTTAGAATCACCCAGATCTTCCTTTTTCACATTCCTATATCCAGTCACTTTATGCTGACCAGTATAATTCTTAGTATCTGTCAACTTGTTTTGCTGTTCATCCCCAATAGCATTGCCAGTTCAGTCTTGTTTTATCTCTTATCTAACTATCTCAGCCACTTTTATTTTTCCTGCCTCAGGTACATTCCACCTGAAGCCCAGTTCACCTTACATAAGAGCTACCAGGGTTACTTTGCAAATCTGAAAGTGCCATTCTCCTACCTAAATTCTAAGTTGATTCTAAGCACCCAAACTTCTTCGTGTGGTATTTAAGTAAGGATCACATGATCTGGCTCTTGCTTGCCTTCCTAGCCTAATTTCCCTGATTTGGGTCTATAAACCCAGTGCTCCATTTTACCAGACTTCTAAGATACCAGGGCTCTGTGCAATAGCTATCCCATAGGCTGTAGCACTTCTTCTTGAGCACAGGAACCATGCTTTTATTTTTTATTTTTAAAGATTTCATTTGGGGCGCCTGGGTGGCTCAGTGGGTTAAGCCTCTGCCTTCGGCTCAGGTCATGATATCATGTGTCCTGGATCTAGCCGCACATCGGGCTCTCTGCTCAGTGGGGAGCCTGTTTCCCCTCTCTCTCTGCCTCCCTGTCTGCCTACTTGTGATCTTTCTATCTGTCAAATAAATAAATAAAAATCTTAAAAAAGGAAAAAAAAAGATTTTATTTATGTGGGTGAGAGAGAGCGAGAGAGTGTGCACGTGCGCATAAGCAGGGGGAGTGCCAGGCAGAGGGGGAGGCAAGCTCCCCGCTGAGCAAGGAGCCAGATGTGGTACTCAATCCGAGGACTCTGGGATCATGACCTGAGCCAAAGGCAGATGCTTAACCAACTGAGTCACCCAGGTGTTCCTTATTTTTTTTAAAGAACTTTTTACAAAAACACATCATAGAAAAATTAAAAAGTAAAGGCAAAATGCCCATTATCTTACCATACAAAATAATTACTTATATGTAGATACACATCCTTCTAAACCTTTTCGTTTTTGTGTATTTGCTTCTAAAACAAGAGGGGTTCTTAATCCATTTGTAACAATTTTTAATGGACAAAAAATAAATTTGTTTTTTGTATGTACCCACAGTTTAACCCCACAGTTTCAAATTTTTTACTATCACAAGTAATACTTTCAGTAACACACCTTGAAGCTAAAGTATCATGCAAATTTACAATATTTTCCTTCTCTTGGCATAGTATTTGATGTGATGATGTGTTCAGTGAGGGTACATTTGATTAGATATA